TAAATTTGTCGAAATTGTTGAATAAGCTAGTTAACTCTTCTAATTGTTTTTTAATTTGACTAATTTCAGTATCAGATACATCTTCTTCTTCACCTCATCTTCATCATTATGGTTCATATTATAACTTATATAAAACTTCTCAAATTAATAATGCGCTTTTTATCATTTCTAAATATTGGCTCATATTTAAAAACAGTGTGCAGAATCGTCTAAAGCCATTCGAAAATTATTATAACCCTTTTTTTATTCATAATTATCTTATAAAGCCATTCGAAAATTATTATAGAGATTACTATTTAGCTAACAATGCAACAATTAAATTATTATTTCCTTTACCTGGTTTTGTTAATTATCCCAAAAAAATTTCTACCTTAAAGGAGTTATGGAAACCTGAGCCTAGTTCCTTTACAAAGTCAATTGATTTAGAATTATACAAAACTTGGAATGGTGAAGCTCTTTTAAACTTCAAATGGAATAATTATGGAAGAGTTTATTATTTATTTATGTGGATGATTTATACTATTTTCCTTTGTTGCTTTACCGGTGTAGCAACTTTGTCAAATGAAATTTCTTGGACTAATCAACAAATTCTTTTAATATCTTCTATTATACTTGGTATCTGGCATTTTATTTTTGAGTTTCGTCAGTTTATTTATTCTCCTATACTCTATATTACTTCACCATGGAACTATGTTGGTAATTATAAGATTTGTTACTTGTTTATGTTAATTTATGCTATTCTTATTTATTTTATTTTATTTATTCTACTATAAAGATTTGGGTGCTTTTTTACTTCCAACTATAACTTCAATTATATGGCTTAAGAATTATACTGTTCCAATTTGGACAATTATCTTTTCTACGTTGATGCTTGAATTAAAATTTCTCACTTATTTCCGGGCGTTTGATCATATTGGTGTTTATTTTGCAATGATAATTGGTGTAGCTAAAAGAGCCTTTTTATTTTTAGTTATATTAGCATTTATTGTATTTATTTTTGCACACTCTTTACACCTCTTACTAAGACCCACTACTGAAATATCTTTGGATCAACCAAGTTATTCAAATGATCCAAATAATCCGTGGAATTTGGTCACAAAATACTATACAGTAAACCAGGATGGCTCTGTTAATGAAAATCCTTTTCTTATTGAATCTCCAAATACAAGTACAAATATGTTTTCAACACTAATATCTGCAATTTTGGCAGTTTATATTATGCTTACAGGTAATAACTAAATTTAAATCTATATTCGATAACTATCTTTCACCGTATAGTGCTAAAATTTATTTAATTATGCCATTCAATAGGAGATACAAGTTCTTTGTCTCCTTGGGCTCTAAATGATGATATAACTTTAACTATCTTAGTAGTTATATTTTCTTTTTTTACAACAATTTATTTAATGAATTTGTTTATTGGGTTACTTAGTGATGCAATAAATGAAACCAACAACAAAGAATACTTTTTAATTCAAAGGGCTGAGGTTGGTTTGTTAAAATTATTATATTTGTATAATATAATGTACACTTTCACGAGATATTAAAACTAGTTTGGAATTTGGTATGGTTTATTAAGTTAGTATATAAAAATGTACTAACGGTATTAAGCTATATAGTCTATTACTTCCCATAATATCCTCCGTTACGCTTTGGATAATTAATATACCAAAATTGTCTAAACGTACTTTAAATTATCTTGACAATATAAATTAATTATTATCTAGTTATATAATATTTTAAGGCTTCTATTTTTGTAAAAATGTAGTATTTAAAAATTTAATAACTTAAATATTTTTGTAGGTTTTAACTGAGATCGAATTATTTTATATGTTACCATATCAAAGAAGAAAACATAATTGGTTTCCAAATATTATGTAAGTATAATATAATTTCTTGTTAATTGATTGCAAAATTTTAATTATAGAATTTTATATGTTTATATAGTTTTTATGAAGCCCATGTACATAAACTTCGTGATCTAATTAGAGACATTCAAAATGATAAATGGTTAACTTTAGAAAAACCTCAGATTTCTTCTTTACTTTTAAAAATTATTAATATAGAAGATGAATCTGATACTGAAATTAGTCAAATTAAAAAACAATTAGAAGAGTTAACTAGCTTATTCAACAATTTCGACAAATTTA